CTATCCAGGATGGGTCCAGGCGAGAGATGAGACGTCTTGCTCTGTTCTCTACTCTGTCAAGCAGTCGCAGATGAGAGGGGGGGCAGGCAAACCAAGAAAGTGAGCATACTCAAGGTGTGAGCGTACTTGTGCCTCGTACAGGATCTTGCAACCCCTACTGTCAAGCAGATGCGAGATACGGCGAAGTGCTGTAAGCTTCCTGGCTGCCTTGTTTGCAAGATTTACAACATGGTTCTTCATGGTTAGTTTGGAGTCAAATTTCACCCAAGGATATCAACTTCTTCTCCAGGTGCCAAAATCCTCCCATTCAACCTTACTACTGCACCAGCATTACCATCATGGTGCCTAGAGACGATCATCATTGCATTTTCTCAGGTGCAAATGTTACTTGACATCTATTTCCCCAAGCTGATATAGCTATCAGCTGGTGATTGATGTAGCTTAGAGCAGCTGGCATTTCTTCTCTTGGATAAGTGAATGTCAGTGTACAGTCGTCTGCATATGCATGTGATTCTGGGATGAGATGAAGAAGGTCGTTGAAGTAGACATTCCATAACAGTGGACCCAGCACGTTTTCCTTGTGGAACGCTTGCCCCAATAGGATGCCTTGCTGATTCCGTTCCATTGAGGACTACACTTAGAGATCTACCATGAAGGTAATCACTGAGGAGACATTAGCGTAGAGCCTGCAATTCCCAGTGCTTGAAGTTTTGCTAAGAGGCCCTGGTGCACACCCGGTCGAAAGCGCCAGCAATGTCCAGTGCTACCACACAGCTGACTTTGGATTCATCCAGTGACTGGTGCCACTTAGTGGAGAGGTTTAACAACAGATCAGCAGCAGAGTAACCTTTCCTGAAGCCATTTTGACGATCACAAAGTAGTGAGTGGTAGTCAAAAAAATCTGTCATTTGTCTTGAGATTATTGTCTCAAGGATCTTACCAGTGATTGACAGGAGTGACACTGGTCTGTAGTTGCTGATTTCTGCTCTGCTCTTCTTTTTGTGAACAGGGACTACATTTGCCTCTTTCCATGGAGAGGGCCATTTACACTGTACTAGGCAGTGCTGAAAGATGCGAGTTAGAGGTGCTGCTAGCTGGTCTGCACATCTTCTCAACAATCTTGGGCTCAACTTGTCTGGGCCCACAGCCTTTTCTTGGTCAAGTGATTTAAGAAGGAAATGCACCTCCTCCTGCCTTATTGTCACCACTGACAGTTTTGACACAGTTCTTGCAGCTAGCCAAGGAGGGTCCCTTGCTGGATCAGGAACTTGCATTTTGGTAGCAAAGTGTTCAGCAAAGAGGTCCGCCTTCTCTTGACTACTAGTAAAGGTGGTCCCATCCTGTCGATTTAGAGGTGGAATAAGTTCATCAGCAGATAACCTTGTCTGTCCTTGACCAGGGACCACCAGGTTTTGGAGCCTACCCTACCTGATGCTAACTTTCTTTTAGTGTCCACCTCCCATTTAGCAATGGCCCACTTTTGAACATCACCCATATGCCTACAGCTTGCATGTGCAAGTTCCTGTTATAAGTGGTAGGATGTCTCTTATACCTTCGCCATGCTTTGTACTTAGCAGTAGCAGCCTCTCTACAACGAAAGCCAAACCAAGCTGATCTGTAGGCTTTGTCACATATTGCCGGTGAGGAATGTGTTCTTGTTGCAGATTAAGGATGTGTCCAGTGAAAGGCTTTCACTTTTGGTTGTCAACATCTCCCTGGAGAAGAGCATTCCAGTCGGTGGTGGCGAGCTCAGAGCAAAGGGCTGGCCAATTACCTCTTTCCCATAGCCAGGTTGTGCGTGTGGACTCCTCACCTTGTTCTGTTGGGATCTTAAGTGTGGTAAAAACAGCCTTGTGGTCAGACGATCCAACGTAGCCGAGGGGTTGACAAGTGACTATGCCTTCTGCCAGATCACTCACTACTGGGTCAAGGGAGGAGCCAGAGATATGAGTAGGGAAATCAACAAAGTTTCTCATGTCAAACACTGCAAGAAAGTCATGAAAGTCCCTCTGTATAAGGTGCTGGTTGAGGTCACCAACAATTATAATGTTGACAGTTGTGTTGTAGCAGAAGGGAGTCAATATTTTCCATTAGGAAGTTGATAGGATCTGCGTGTTGCCACTGAGGTCTGTACATTGCACATGCTAGTACAGAGGTACTAGTGTTTATACAGAGCTTGAAGAACATCATTTCAAGATGTGTAGGGGCGGCAACATCTATGTGCTGGGCATGAACACTTTTAGAGAAGCACACAGCAACACCACCTCCTTGCCCTTGCCTGTCTCTTCTCATCCATGAGGTGTAGCCAGCAATTCTTGCAAAATTTTCTGGAGTCCTGTCATCCAAAAATGTTTCAACAACAGCTATCATGTCGGGACGTCGAGTGTTCACAAAGCTATGTGTGAGCTCTCCAACATTAGTAATGAAACCTCTAATGTTGGCCGACAGGTTGCTGATAGACTGGCTCCTCATGATGAAGTGGTCAGCTTGAGGTGGTGGGTGTGTAGGGAATGTTTGTAAGCTAGTGCTGTACTAGGGTTTGGTGCTGGAGCAGCAATTGTCTCCCATTTAGTGATGGCATTGGCATAGTTAGGGTCCTGTATTCCTGCTGAGTCACTAAGGTTATCAGAAAGAATTTGCCTTATTAACTAGTTTGATGCTATGGAAGAGGATAAGAAAGCTGGTAAGGCAATCTGGGAGGATCTGCGTACTCCCAGCCTCTCAAGCCTTACCTGAAGTGAGGCTTGCAACCACTGCCCATCTTCAAGGGAAAGATTCAATACACTCTCCAGCATGGTCTTAAGGATAGAGTCATATTCCTTGAGTTTTTGACTGCTGAAGGTTGGTGGGAACATCTCAGAAAGTAGGTAAGTTTTGGGATTGACAGGCACCTGGTGAGTTGGTAGAAGGCATCATGTGTATCAATGTCTTTCATCCTGCCTTCCATCGTCCGGAGGTCCGAGACTTTTTTCTAGGATCAGATCGATGGCATGGACGCAAGAGGAGCACCAAGGAGAGTGCTATTAGCTGGATCAATGGCTCGTGCTCCTGGTAAAACAGCACTAATGTTCAAACCATACCACGGATGGGGATAGAAACCCGCGATGAGAGAGTCCTCAAAACTCAAGACCGTCGCGTTAGCCACTGGGCCAGTTAGCCTCAATAAGATTCGTCCAACTAGGTATATTTCTACACCATAGGAAGGTTAGCATAGGCACCACTGTGACCACAAATGCAAGTTTTTTACAGACGAATCTCCAGCTAGCGTAGCCATGACGAACTCTGTGCCTATGCTAACCTTCTATGGTGTAGAAATATACCTAATTGACGAATCTTAGTGTGGCTAGCTGGTCCAGTGGCTAACCGACGGTCTGGAGTTTTGAGACTCTCTGATCGCGGGTTCTATCCCCGTACGTGGTATGGTTTGTTTTCAATCGTGTCATTACGATTTCGTGAGTCAAGCACTAATATTCTGGATCATCTGTCGATTAGTAATAACTATTTCACAAATGGTGGGGTTTAAAGATAGTCCAGGTTTTCTCCCATGGCTTTAATTTTTCTGATGTCTTCTAGGAGAGATTCTGTAGTGCCAGCCAGGGTACCATCATGCAAGAACCAGATAACTGAGCTCACTGGAGGGTGCTTCTGTGACTTCCTTGAAGACCAAACAGAATAGAAAGGGGGCGAGAGAGGTCCCCCTGTTGCACACCCTCACACGAGTCAATTACATGGTTCCCAAACAATAGTTTAGAAGTCACACTGTAATAGGATTCTGTGAAGGGATAGAGGGAAGGGAATTTTCTATAAAACTGCTTGGAGAGCAGCATCCCATCCTGACTAAGTTGAAAGCGTTGGCAAAGTCCAATTTGATCAAGACTTTTTCATCGGACGTTGTTGATGTATCATGCCACTTAAGCTGACTGAAAGTTTGTGTACCCCATGAATCATAAATAATCGGAAAACAATTTGAACATAACGAAAAAATTATGTCATTGATTTGGGCAATGCTAAATAAATTTAATCTGACCTATGATATACATAGCAGAATTAGCTAAAAAAATATTTTAATTTAAATTAGGTCAGGTGAAGTTTCTAAGTTAGTTTTGGTCCTTGAATAATAATATTTATGTCATTATCAATGTAAAAGAAATTTTTTGAACGACACCTAACTTAAAAACCTCACCTAGCCTAACTTAAAGTGACGTATTTTTTTTTTAGCTAACTAAATTCTATCACACATATCATAGTTCAGTTTAAATTTATCCATTAATACGAAAAATCAATTATATATATCTTATGTTCAGAATGATTTTTGCAGAGTTATGGAAAACAAATTTTTCGCTCAGGTTTTCATAGAGAGATAGATAGAGAGAAAGAGAGAGAGAGAGAGAGAGAGGAGAGAGAGAGAGAGGATGAGAGAGAGAGAGAGAGAAGAGAGAGAGAGAGAGAGAGAGAGAGAGAGAGAGAGAGAGAGAGATGAGAGAGAGAGAGAGAGAGAGAGAGAGAGAAGAGACGAGAGAGAGAGAGAGAGAGAGAGGAGAGAGAAGAGAGAGAGAGAGACGAGAGAGAGAGAGAGAGAGAGGAGAGAGCAGTAGATTATCTGGACATTATTTCTGTGATGATCGTCCCTACAACACGGTCTGATTCACTGTCTTCTTGTTGAGAACAACCAGCATCTGTGTACTCAAATTCAACACAGTTAGCAGAGGACTGTCACAAGAGTCAATGAAAGAAAATTATTTAAGAATAAATAATAAATAAATTTCATGTTATATACAAGAAGCAAAAATCAACTATACGTATAACTAAATGCAACTAAAAATAAATATATATTCAACAATTCAAAATAAATCGATAAAATAATGTATCCATGAATAAGAAAAAATCATATGAGCGAAAATTCATAGGAGTAATAAAACTGAATTAAATTTTTTTATTGTTTTTCTTTTTTCAAAAAAGGATTATGAGAACGAGTAGGATTATAGTGCGGATTTACTCACTTGGTTTTCCTGAAGAATTTTGTGACATTGTTGAAGACGGTGGATGACAGTGTTAAATATTTCTTCCTCACGTTGCTGGAGATGCAATAGATTCTTATGTCACATCCTTGTCACTTAAGATGGAAAAAATCTGTTCCTCATCACTTGACTGAAGGAGATAGAGAGCAGTTATTTACTGTTACTTAACTGAAGGAGTAGAGAGCAGTTATTTACTGTTACTGACTGAAGGAGGTAGCAGCACTGTTTCTTCTCTGTTACTTGACTGAAGGAGGTAGCCAGCACTGTTTCTTCTCTGTTACTTGACTGAAAGAGGTAGCCAGCACTGTTTCTTCTCTGTTACTTGACTGAAGGAGGTAGCCAGCACTGTTTCTTCTCTTTTTACTTGACTGAAGGAGGTAGCCAGCACTGTTTCTTCTCTGTTACTTGACTAAAGGGAGGTAGCCAGCACTGTTTCTTCTCTTGTTACTTGACTAAAGGAGGTAGCCAGCACTGTTTCTTCTCTGTTATTTTGGGACTGAAGGAGGTAGCCAGCACTGTTTCTTCTCTGTTACTTGACTGAAGGAGAAAAGCCAGCACAGGTACTGTAACGTCATTCTAGACGAAACTCGCTTTCTGTGGAAAAATACTCGGTGTTACAATCCGAAATTTCTAATGAGTTGCATAGGAATTATCACTTAAAATACTAAACAGCGGGTTTGACACTGGTCAGAGAACAAATGGAAGGTTGATATATAGATTCATATGAAAGAGACACAAAGAGAAGGAAATAGATGTGATAAAAATTTTAAAAGTAGAGAAAGGGCGAAATAAATCAGTAATGAGAACTATTGCTTGAAAGCGAATGTTGATGCTCTGAGTAAATTTGAACTTGACTCAGACTTTCGCGTCTTCATTCTACGAGCTTTGTGCTCTTTCTTCACACTTAGAACAGGTTGGACAGCATTTAGGCCATCATTGCCTCCTAAAATCTCAACAAACCGTGAGGTGTATGCCTCTCTGAGTATACATGGGTGCTCTCAGCTGGCTTTGGTGGAGTTCAGACGTCTCAGTATCGGCGACGACTTATCCATTTTTCTTCGTGAGCCTTTTCACCTTATACACACCCGCTGGGCAATTGGTAGAGGACATTTATACATCAGCTCTTCTTTCCGCTTTGCGTTTTGAAGGCCAGCGAAACCCTTTTGACTTAAATGAGGATACTGGAGAGCTTGGGTATCTGGCTCTGCGGGGAATATAAGCAAGGGGACAGAGGCTCCATCTGACTTGATTGGGAATTTTACTGTTCTCTTCTGTTTTTGGATATAACTTTCCCCCTTTTCTTTGCAATTCTCGATAAAATTTGGGGCAATTTATTTTTCCCGGACTCCCCGGAAGCAGACCGTAATATATCGTATGCAGTGCTGGCTCTCTTTAATAATAATAATAATAATAATATTAATAATAATAAATAATAATAAAAAATAAATAATAATAATTTAATAATGTTGAGGGTTATGTGTGGGTGAAAATAATGAAGAGAATCCGTAGTTTGGAGATTAGGAGAAGGTGTGTTATTACCAAAACTATTATCCAGAGGGCTGAGATGTTGTTGAGGTGGTTTGGACATGTACAGAGGATGGAAACGAAATAGAATGGGCCCTTTGAGAGTATACAAACTGTAGTGGAGGGAAGGCGGGTTGGTGTCGGCCTAGGAAAGGTTGGAGGGAGAAGGAAAAGGAAGTTTTTTGTGCGTGGGGCTTGGACTTCCAGCAAGCATGCGTGAGCGTGTTAGATAGGAGCAAATGGGGACAAATGTTTTTTTAGGACTTGACTGTTGTTGGAGTGTAAGCAATGTAACATTTATGAAGGGGTTCAGGGAAACTGGCAGGGTCGTACAGGACCTGCACTCTGAAGGAGGGGCGTTAATGTTGCAATTTTAGAACTATAGTGTAAGCATTCCTCTGGCAAGACAGTGATGGAGTAAATGATGATGGAAGTTTTTCATTTTCGGGCCACCCTGCCTTGGTGGGAAACTGCCGATGAGCTAAAAAAAATAATAATAATTATAATTTAAAATAATAATAATAATAATAATAATAATAATAATAATAATAATAATAATAATAATAATAAAATCCAACAACAACCACAACACAGTGTATACATATAGACGTTTCATTTGATCCTAATAGTAATAATCATCGTTATTTCTACAACTACATATACAGACCAAGCTATCATCATTGGCATACTACAAAGCCCCTGGTTATGCGGAGCATTTTAGGGCAGCTTAGACTAATTTGTCCCTAGGATGGGAGCCACAATGGTCGGCTAACATCCAGGTACCTATTACTGCTAAGTAAAGAGGGGCGGCATGTTTAAGTAAGCATGACCAACGTTTCTCACGGTCTGGGAAGCGGTGCGTTTATTCTGGGGATGTTTTCTCAGAGTTGGACGTTTTTGCTAGAGTGCTTGCCAGAGTTGCGCGTTTTTTCAGAGGAGTGTTTTCTTAGATCTGTGCAATTTTGAATGTGGGCAGAGTGGCGTTTTTTCAGAGCTGCGCTACTGACGTTATCCCAGTCAGCGCGGAGTCCGCCTTCCCCCGCTATACATCATACAAACTCTTTGCCCCTTACCCCACCTTAGACTGCTCTAACTCTTCAAATCAACATCTCCTACACTTCCCTCTCCTTAAAACCTAAGACCATCAACAATCTTCTATTCCAAGACCGTCCACTCCATACCCTCCACTAACAACACCGCACACTAACTATGAACCTTCTCAACCCCAGAGCACTCTCATCATCCCTCCCACCCTCACCTATCATCCCCCTCGCCATCAAACTGTATCAGGATCACTCCCTCACTTAGCATCATCCTCCTGCAACACAATGGAACAAGACTAGTTCAACTCCCTCACCTTTCCGTCCTCACTCTCTGCAACGTAATATTCGAGTTTCTCAGCGTGACACAATACCTCTGTGGATTGTAGCTTTTAACTGATATGGAAGGAGTGACACTTTCCACCCTGGTAAATAATCAACTTTATTCCACCAGTTCACAGGGAAATGTATTTCCTCGATTGGTACATCAGTCCATATATCGGCTTTCGTACAAAATTTTCGAATACTTCTCAAGATGTATTTGAAAATTACATTACATACTAATTACATTACATACTAATTACATTACATACTAATTACATTACATACTAATTATATTACATACTAATTACATTACATACTAATTATATTACATACTAATTGTTTACTTTTTCTGGCGACAACACGAGAGGCTTTTATTGTTACGGTAAAGACAGTGAATAAAAACAAATAATACTCAAGTTTTTTTTATAAATTAAAGTAAAATAATTACCAAGATTGTAAGATATAACAAAAGGTTATTCTTTTGTTTTTCTGCAGGAATATCAGCATGATGGTATCGTAGTGAATAAGAATTATTCCAAACTTATCTTTAGTCATCGAATAACGAGACTAGTGGCCTGGTTGGCAAAGCTTTCGCTTCACACACGGAGGGCTCGGGTTCGATTCCCGACGTGGTGGAAACATTTCGACGCGTTTCCTTACACCTGTTGTCCTGTTCACCTACCAGCAAATAGGTACTTGGGTGTTAGTCGACTGGTGTGGGTCGCATCCTGGGGGACAAGACTGAGGACCCCGTATTAGTCAGACAGTCCTCGATGATGCACTGACTTTCTTGGGATATCCTGGGTGGCTAACTCTCCAGCGTTAAAAATCCGAACGAAATCGTATTTTTTCTTATCATACACTGACATGTTTCAGAATCTGATTTAAACAACTCTACCTGTGTCCTCCACTCTACCTGTGTCCTCCACTCTACCTGTGTCCTCCACTCTACCTGTGTCCTCCACTCTACCTGTGTCCTCCGCTCTACCTGTGTCCTCCACTCTACCTGTATCCTCCACACTGCCTGTGTCCTCAACTCTACCTGTGTCCTCCACTCTACCTGTGTCCTCCACTCTACCTGTGTCCTCCACTTACCTGTGTCCTCCACTCTACCTGTGTCCTCCACTCTCCTGTGTTTCCCCCACTCTACCTGTGTCCCCCACTCTACCCGTGTCCTCCATTCTACCTGTATCCTCAACTCTACCTGTGTCCTCCACTCTACCCGTATCCCCAACTCTACCTGTGTCCTCCACTTTTACCCGTGTCTCCACTCTACTGTGTCTTCCACTCTACCTGTGTCCTCCACTCTACCTGTGTTTCCCCCACTCTACCTTCTACCTTAAAAAAATACATTTTGGGCTTAAGCGCCAATATTTTATTAATATTATATTTTCCTATTTTGGATTTTAACAAACCTAACTGTCCTGTCCTACTATTATCATACAAAAGAATAATCTCTGGAATACTTAGAGAAATACATACATGAAAATGATGGGTTTCCCTCTATAATTAAGCTTATAAATTCTTACATTTTATAATTTTTGTATGAGTCTATATTTGAATATAACAACTGAACAGTATCACCATAATGTTTTAAAACTATATTCGAAAAGTAATTCAATTGTTTTCTAGCAATTTAAAGTTTTAAAACATGACTTTTCATAGATTTAGGTAAAATGTGGTATAAACATTACAAAAATAGCATTCACAAAAATTTGGTATGTGCTCTAAGTGCTTGGATCAAGAACCCTCCCCCTACCATCCAAAACCTCCCCTCCCCACCCCATATCTAAAAAAACCCCTATCTTCACAAAACACCAAAAACCACAATTCTTATTTTTATTCAGCAGAGGA